AGCCATCCCTGCTTTCCAGAGGCATACTTTAACACTCAGCTTGCAGAAAACAGCTCAGCCTCAAAAAATGATTTGAATCATAAATCAAATTTAAAGGCAAGCAACTGTATGGCTCGTAAAATCTTTTCCCAGGGACCATTGCCCATACATAAAACCTGCGGCTAACCCAGCATATCTCATAAAACCTAAACATTTGCTCTTACAGGAAGAACACAGGAATTTAAAAGACAAGTTCCAAAGATGAGCTCTGATTAGCCCAAATTTCTTCCAAAGTTTAACTTTGCCCAGCTACAGCTTGCTCAGGGTCTTTACCTTTTGCAATATATGTAAGGAAACCAGTCAGCGATAACCACATTTTTATAAACAGAGGCTGCATACATCTAATCTGAAAGACTGTTGTCTGTGATTAGGTATATGTCTATTAAATCCAGCTGCAAACACATGTCAAATTCTAAAACCACACAGATTTATCAGACTGGACTGTGCTGAAGCAGACAAATTGTATATCCAGACGATGCTCAACAGACATCTCATACTGCTCTCTGATTCCTTAAACTATATTTAATCAGCGAGACAGTTTATTTAATTGGGAGCTAAAGCTGATCTTAAGGGTACTAGATGTAGAAGCATCATCTGCAAACATCTGAGATTTCGTTTAATATTACTTTATCGAGGACTAAGAATTCAAAGTAAATATACTACAGGCTTAAGAGGTGCAATTGGAAATCTAAGTCCTAAATCTAGTTCTGCTTCTATATATAACTGTGTTTACATCAACAAGTCACTTAATATCTCTGCTAAAATGGAAATGCCCATGCCTCTATTCCCACAGGAAATACAGGAAAGATTTATGTGGAATTGTAGTGTTATTTGAAGAAATTAAATGCTACAGGAGTACCAGTGTTTTGCATAACTAACAGCAGGAAAGGGAGAATTATACAACTACAGTGTGCTAAGAAATTGATGGTTGTGTACCTGCATCAAAGGGATGCTGATGAGATCACCATAATAAATCCACATGGTCAGTTCTTGCCAGTGTCCTGCTTTCAGCTAGAACAGAGTTAATTTTCTTTCTAGTAGCTGCTGGGTTTGGGTTTAGTATGAGAAGAATGCTGATAATACATACTCTTTAGTTGTTGCTTTCTACTGCATACATTATGTCATTCTGCACTAAAGTTGTGTTTGTCTATGCTGGGTTTTTTTTGGTTTTGTTTTTTTTTTTGCTTACACATTAATTTCAATTCTCAGCAAATGTTTTTAGGCAGAGAAAATGTAGTGTTTATTTGTTTAAATAATTTATGCCTGACATGCTCCTTTGAATGTTTACATTCTCAAATCCAATCTTGAAAATTGAGCATAATTTTAGGCAACAATCATGCTATATTTTAAATTCAGTCTCACTCTACTGCCTCTTTTTTTCCCTTAATCCATGATTATTTATCCTCTGCAGTAAATTTCTAGGAGGAACTCTTGTTATATCTGTTAGAAGTCTGAATAAAATGTATCAGGCACTTTTCACCACTGTATTCGTGAAGCATTCAGGTGACAACAAGGTGATAAGAGAAATGCTTTTCCTCTCTTCCATGTTACAAAAAATACCCCCAAACCGAAAAAGCAAACCAACAAGGACTGGAGCAGGGCTTATTATTGTGTAACAGAAAAGCTTTCTCATTTCATCAGGTAATAAATATTCACAACAGTTGTCATTAAATTCTAATAAAGAAAATGTCCCTTCTTTAGATTAAAAAAAAAAAAGAAGATATTTTATTGCTTTCTTTAAAGTGATACAATTTAAGAGTCCTAATTCATTAGTAGCAAGACAAAGATCTGGAGAATTCTGTATCATTTCCTTATTATATGCTGTGACTTACTGCCAGTTTGTTTTATTATGGAAATTACCTCACAGCCTAGCAATGACAGGCAGTAACTCATTAACCTATGAAGTACCTATTACTAATCAGATATTTACTAATAATGAGTTAAATGACAAGAAGTCAGAATACAGTCAGAAGTTTGCATTTTTGAACTCCTAAGGGCAAATGTCAGATAAGAGATTCTTTATAGGTAGCAAACTTCTCTGTTTAGCAATGATTTTAATGTACCACTGATACTCTTTAAGCAGTTACATGGTCAGTTATGCCCCACTAACTGATATATTTCCAGATAATATTTGTAGGTATAACCTGAGTCTAACAGCATCTGAAATTACAGACTACCCATCCTTTGTCAGAGGTCATTACATATAAGATTATGATCTTCGTCACCTGGCTTTCACCTAAATGGAAACGGCTATACTGAGAATACAGAGATTGTTCTGCTGTTAAATCACTGTATTCCTGGTGGCAATTTGGTGTAAAATACTATTAGCAATCTAGTAATTGGTGGGTCTTTTCCTAATGTGATCGCTTGCTAAATCCAACAGGTTTTTTTTCCAAGTGCTTTAGTAACCAGGCTTTCAAGCTGATATAGGTCAAATCATTCTCAGTTTAGAGACCTAATTACTAGAAAGACACAATTAGAAATAGGTATTGTCAAATGTACATATAAGGGACTGGCATTAACCAGGATGCCGGTCTCTCCCACTCTCTACAAGGGACTGCAAGCCAAACAGCAAGTCTAGCCCCTCACCCAGATCAGTAGAAAAGCTGGTTGTACTTTTGAAGAGATTGGGAGGAAAAAGGTGAAGGGAAATGGTTCTAGGTCAGGTTTAGGTATAGAATATTGAAAACTCTGTAGGAATATGTTGTCATCAAAACCGAATTAATTGTAGCCCCACTGTTCTAATCTGTTTCTCCAGACTTTTCTTGGAGCTCCCCTAGAGACCAGGCTTTCAGGACCTCTTTCCACTCCTCACTCCTGATGCCATTCAGTTCTGCCTGAAAATGGAATAACTTATTCTCTGAAATACAGGAAAGCTTATTTTGTCATGGAAATTCAGCAAGGCTGGTGGTCCCGTTAGTATCAATCTGTGTGCTCAGTTGTTTTATAGAATTATGAAACAGATGCTCCTTGGGGGCGGGGCGGGAAGTGAAGAGAAAAAGCAATTCTTTTGAAAACAATATTTCTGCACCTGAAAAGTGAGCAGGTACACAAATAAACAGAATTCATTATTTCAATGTTCTGGCTTCCAATCATTGTCACTGTCACACTTCCTGTTTACCTGCTTTTGAGTTGTAATTAGAATTCAACTTAATGGCTTTTCATAGCACTTGTTCCTTATGTGAGTGTGGCTTATTGGTTAGTTAACCTGTTGTTCTAGTAAGGCAGATATGGTTGGTCAAGTAAAAGCAGCTGGTAACTTACTTAGCTTCAGTTCTGTCTCTAGCCTTTGCGTATTTCAGCTCTAAAAAATTAGAGCTTTTCCTAACTAAAATGGACCTTTATTATCACCTGCTGCTCTGAGCAGCCCACCAGTTACAGAGGCAGTTTCACTCTGCAATTATAGGGGAGAACAAAGAGCATTACCTGGAAAAAGTAATGCCTCTTTCATTTGATCGTAAACTTGTGACTGTGATCTTGATTTTTAAAGAAACTTTACTCTAAACTTTGTGCTTAAAATTATTTTGATCCATAAACCTTCAAAGGCATGATAAGAAGCTGAGTCTAAAACCAGGCCTTTTATATGAAATATATCCTTTGCAGGGTCAAATATTTTATTGTATTATTACATCAAAGAAAAAGCATGTAGGGTCCTACCGTCACTTCAATTGTGGGAAAGAGATTAATGTCTTATTTGAAAACTTCTTTCCCCTGAAATACTTTCCTGCAAACTTATTGGATCCAGTTGTTTTTTTAAATTTTGTTCCCCTCTTTCTTCCTTTATTTTTTTTTAAGATGGTATTTCTCCTCATGCAGTGTAATAGGCTGAGAATTACTGTGAATCAAAAAATGAAAGCGTTCTGTGTAGCCAGTGTAGCGGTACTTCAGCCTAATGAAGAGCACTTCTGTTTCAGTGATGATGGGAACACAAGGAGAAACCTGCAAGGGTTGTGCCAGAGCCTGGCAAATTACAGTGCCCAGCCGTTTCCCCGTTCTATTCACCAGGCTGGTCGTTTCACTTCATCTGGTCATGCAGCGATACAAATTGCTAACAGTGGCTATTTCTGACAGCACACTGAAGCAGAACTGTAAGAAACTACAGCTTGATAACCCTATGCTATTTTGAGCGGTCTAGCATAACGTATTCCATGCTGATATTACGCGCTGATGATGTAAGAGGAGCATGTTACTGTCAATGCTATTATTGATATTTTATAGACTAGCTTAAAGTATTGATGGTGTGAGTATATTGACGCTACGTAACCTAGACTGTCCAGCATATATGTAATTCTGATTTATAAGAACAACAAAAAATTCCCACTCTGACACCCTTGCTGGCCAGTATTTCTAATTCCTCATTGGTTATAACATAGAATACATGACAAAATAATTCTAAATGGCCAAGTATCAGGAAAAAAAAACAAGCCAAGTTCCCCATTTTGCTGGTGGAATCACTCTTTTAAGTTCAGCAGCCTCTGTAACAACTTGTAGCTTGTGTTGCATTCTGAAGGTAACCACATTCAAGCTGTTTTAGACCAAAGGTGAATTTCATCTCACTTCTTCACTAGCCCATCTCTAGAACTTACTCCAGTATTGCCTTTCCACTACTAACAGCTTATCATTCCATATTTAATTCAGAAGCAATTGAGCATGCACACTGGTTGCTTACTTATTGTGCTGGAACTGTGAAGCTGGACACTGAAAGAGCCGTTCCTCACAAAATCAATATGGGCCAGTTAATCATCTGGAGTTATCTTGGGCTCTCCATACTCACGTTCTACCAATTGGAACAGTACTAACAGCATTTCTGTGACACTGTTAACCGTATCTCAACACAGATTAAAACCAAGAGGTTAGAATATGGAAAAGATATTAAGATATACAGATAAGCAGGTATAAGAAGAAATGCAAACTATGCAGAATATTTTGACATTTCAATGTGTCAATTGCTTAATTAACAGGAGGAGGATCAGTCAAGTTTTTCTGGTTATGAGAGCACAGGAGGTGAGTTTCTTTTTCAGTACCATTTGCCATTTAATTTTGAAACATTTGTTTTCCCCTTGTATTTAAATAGGTACTTATAAGGTAAAGTGAATTCAGGTTATTTGTATTGTGAAAGTTATGTCTCAAAGGATTTTATTGTGTGGTTTCTCTTTGAATGGAAATTAAAGCTTGTAAAAGACATTTTTACACTCTTTAGGTCAGTAGATCCAGAATTATTAGAAAATATTACTGTTTATCAGCTTCATATCTCATAGGTGTTTTCAGAAATTGTCAGTTATGAAAAGCTTGTTGGAAAGTATGAGCTGCTGAGAGTCTAAGAGGAATGAAAAGATTAATCAAACCTTTTACAGCTAATGATATTATGTAATAAGGGATGTACGTGCCATATAATAAAAATCAAAAGTGTATGTGGTAAATAAATGTGTCTTTTAAGTGATTAAGTCACAGACATAATAAGATTCCAGCAGGCTCAGATGGTGCAAGATCAGCTTCTGTACTGGTATAATCAGGCCAATGACTGGGGCTCAGACTAGAAGGAACTGCTTTTTTGAAAAATTAAAGTTTCAGTAAAAGGCAAAGCTATAGTACATACAGTAGTTTTGGTGCTAAAATGACAGTAATACCTGGATTTCAGTTAAGATTGTTATTATTTGGCTGAATGTGAGGCTCAGGGAGTTTAAGATTACATTTCTGATGTAGTGCACCAAATATAAAATCTGAATGGGATGTAGACAAATTTCTATAGCAATTATTATGTAATAACATGTTCAAAGGAAAATGTAATGGCTCAGGTTATGACATCAAGATGCATCTGCTTTTCTTCTTTTTTTTTTTTTTAAAGAACTGATGTGTAAGGTTTCATTTTCAGGTAAAATATTTTTATCATATCTGCAGTGAGAACTACGAACCTGGGAGATAAATAAGCTTTAGGATAATAGCTGCTTTTGGGATGCAGAGTACTATAACAGAAAGTAAATCTCGTGAAATCAGGTCACCTTGCATGAGTGTTACACAGTTCAGTGTGGAAGTATCTAAGATTAAAATTACTAGCTCTTGCCAACTAAAGAATTTTTATTTTCATTTTAGACTTTTCAGAAGATTTAAGGAAATCAAACATCATTATTGTAGTCGGTAAGTAGGATTCCTAATTTAACCGCTACAGTTGAAAATCCCCACGTTATTTAGTTCTGATTATAAGCATATGATTTCTTTTAAAGTTTAGCAGAACATTTTGGTTAAGAGTATTTACACTACAATGGCGGTTTAGTATTTTGAAAGGGAGTTTGGATTTAATATCAAGTTATTAACTTGGGTCTGACTATGCTAATAACAGTTGTGTAAAGCTCAGAGCAGGAGGTATGTTTAAGTGTGAACATATTCAGAATGACCTTGGTTCTTGTGCAGTTACAGTAGTGTTGTGTGATCTCCCACAGCAAAGTTGCCTCACCAGCATTAACTAAAATGTTACTAGATTGGATTTGTAACTCAGATTTCTAAGGTTTAGTGAAAAAAATCAGGTCTCTTCACCTCTTCATCTGTGAAACAACTTTTCTAAGTACAGGTTTCAATTCTGCATGTGCTCAACATGCTGTTAAAAAGTCAACATGCTAGTCATCATGCATGATGCTTAACATGTACTGAGGCTTTGCAGGTTTACTTTATGTTTGCTTTCTGGAAGTCCACAGAGAAAAAGCACCATGTTAATACCTGTTATTATATAAATGTGACTAATGTAATTAGCATAAACTTTGAGCAGCCTTTTAAAACAAATTAATTATAATGTGAAGATTTACACGTTTCAGCTTAATGCTTGGTACTAATTACTTTGAAAGAGTAATTGGGTTTGCATCAAGCAGAGTTTTTCAGAACTGCTTTACAATATACAGCAGGATCTACAGATTTCCAAAGACCTAAGGACAGATAGCCAGAAGTGCAATTTTACATAGAAGTAAGTCACTTTGTGCATTCTTTTTCATTGGGTGGGGAAGGAAAAAGTGACTTCTGGAATTCGTCATAAATGAACAGAAATTTCACTCAGAATTTGGGAAGCATCAAATAACATTCCAATACCAGCAGCTTGAGGGAGATGATCCTTCTTCCCTATTCAACACTGGCAAGACTGCATCTGGAGTAGTGTGTCCAGTTCTGGGGTCCCCAGTATATGAAAGGTAATGATTTACTGGAGCAAGACCAGCAAAAAGATGTTTGAGGGACAGGAACACCTTTCATATGAGGAGAGGCTGAGAGAGCTGGGACTCTTAAGCCTGGAGAAGAGAAGGCTCCAGGGGATATTGTCAATATGTATAAATACCTGATGGTAGGGAGTGAAGATGAGGGAGCTGGAATCTTCTCAGTGGTGCCCAGTAACAGAACAAGAGAAAGTGGGGACAACTTAAAATACATGAAATTCCATCTGAACACAAGAAAACACTTTTTTTGCTGTGAGGGTGGTCAAACACTGAAACTGTAGAGTCTCCATCCCTAGAGATTTGCAAAACCCAACTGGACAAAGTCCTGAGCACCCTACTTTAGCTGACCCTGAATTGTTGGACTAGATGATACCAAGAGGTTCTTTCCAGCCTAAAGGATTCTGTGAGAAGACAGCATGTTTACGTGTTGTACTTTTATCTCACTCTGTCTTATACCAAATACAAGTTGACTCAATTTATTGCAAACCTATGGTGGATATTATGTGTTTGAAAAACTGAAATTAGGTTACTGAAGAGCTCATTGGAGACTTTTCTTAAGGGAAAGATGCATAATACTTAATTTTCAGTCTTTAAGCAAACAGTAACTCCATGCTTACTGAAATACACCTTCCTGCTGCTTCCTTCAATGACAAATTTTCATTCCCTTTGCCTCACATATCTTATTGGAAAATTATGTTTCAGTTTATACAAACACAAATTTTTTAAAATGTGAAGACACTGAAGGAATTTTGTCTCTGAAATTGTCCATGGTAAGGCATATTTTTCATTTACCTCTGGACTGCTTTTTCTTTTTCAAAGAATGGCTTTTAATTTTCATTTATAATTTTTATAGGCTATCTACTATCCATCTTCCAGCTTAAAACTGAAAACACACCTTTTCCTTATTTATTCCTACTTTTAAATCCATCTCAGACTAAAATCCAACTCACTACTAAATGCTTTCCAGGAACAGAGGAAAATTCTGCTTGATCAAAAGTCTATGTTTTCGTTGTTGAAAATGTTCTAACAAAAAGTTTGACTAAGTTCAAGCGTGGATTGCCAACAAATTATGTAGAGTGATTTATACTTTTTTCCCAAAGTTCTCCCATCCTTCTACCCCTGAAAAAGCTTCTTGAAGTCTGATGTGAAGAGTGAAGATATATTTTTTCTGGTTTGGTGTTTTTTTTTTTCCTATCTGGTTTTTGGGGATGCTTTTTTGGGGTTTTTGTTTGGTTGTTTTGGTTTTTTTTAATGTGATTGCTGTGGGATATTCATGGCTACTCATTTGGCTGCAAAAACTTGATTTTACTCCATCTAGGTACTGAAGGTAAATGGTATTTCCTAGAGACAGATTTCTTGCTGGTGCTAGGTTGGCATGGCCAACTTTGCCTTGGCAATAAAGTTGTCTTATGTGTCAGTCAGGAGCTGAAGTGCAATCGCTGTGCAAGAACAAAAGAAAACTTTGAAGAAGGCTCACAGGAGCAGAACAAAACTGTAAAACTTGGAGGGAGGGTGGGAAAGGAAAAAAAAAGCACCACAAATTCTCTGTGGCTGTGTACTCCATGGCTAGAAAAAAAGCAAAGAAGACGGGTTGGAGCATGCTGCTGTGGGTACCTGAATGGGAAAAATTGTCTCAGGTGTCATTAGGAATGTTTACTCGTTACATAGACGTATTCATGAGGATATAATAAGATGCTTATAAAAATGTTTGAAAAGTAGAGTTCTAAAGATGTGCACTTGAAGTGGTTTACAGACTAGTTCAAATAAATACACCATCTGCCATCACTGACAAATTGAGATACTGTTTATAAGACAAAGGGAAAAAAGCAAACAATTCCCTCCCCCACTCATTTCCCTTGAAAATTGTCCAAAAAGGGAAAGAAAAAAAATATCTAATTAGCAAAGATTTACATTAGAGCTAATGTAGGAATTAATTGGAATAACAGTCAGCTTGGATTAATTAAGCAACAATTTCAATGTTTTATCCAGATAGCAAAGCAGAGATGTGGAAGCAGCAAGTCAAAAATATGATAGATAGCAACAGGGTAATAAAAGAGGCAAAACCAAGTTAAATTTGGCTTGCAAAGTAAAATGCAAGAGAAAAATAAAAAAATAAAGAAATGCAAAGATAAATTTTGGGGATGCTCTAATATTTGAAACTTACATAATTACTGCCAGTCACAAAAATAAAAACTCCACAAAACAGAAAAAAACTGCACCAAACAAAAAAAGCCTTTTTCAGCAGAGCAACATGAAATGTAAAGTCTTAACCAAGATGAACAACGTATGATTTTATCATTCTTAACTAATTCAATACTCTGTATCACATCCAGAAAGTTATCATACATATCAAGGTTACTAGGACCGTTATCCCTCCCTATTCTCTACAGGATTTTCATAAAACATACCCACATTTGGCTTTGGTTGAGGCTGAAACCAAAGTAGAAAGTTTTCGGGAATCTTTCTGTGCTTCAGATCAGAGACAAACTCCCCACTTAATCTTAGATGTAATGTTTAAAACTTAGTGTAACCAATTTCCTCTGCAGAATCCCTGTCATTCTCGCTGAGGAACTAAAGCTGATAATGGCTTAAGCTCAGTGTAAATAAGACCAGCTTTTCAGCTGACACCCTGAAGATATTACAGCCACCTACACTTACAAGTAAAACATTGTCAGCTGCAGATACTAGTTACTTGTGTGGGGAAAAAAAAAAAAAAGACCCCAAACCAAACCACAGAACCCAAAACCCTTTATTTGTCCAAAGTATGGTAGAACTCCAACGACTTAGTCTAATGCTGAATTTAGCCCTGCTTTGAGCAGAGGGATTTGCCAAACGAGATCCCTTCCAACCTGAATTACTACAATACCTGCCTTCCAGCTTGTTCTACAGATGGGCAAAAGATAAGCAGTGCTGATAATTAAAACCTCAATCAGTCCAAGCGCTAACTGCAGGAGCTGATGAAGGCTGCTTTCTCTGACTTTCCATGAAATGAACTCCATGTTTTCTTTAAGAGGGATGAATACTCAGTGATGTCCCAGGACATCACATCACTCTGCCAATGTATGCTCCAGGTTGTTTTCTGATTAAAATCATCTTTCAGAAAAAAAAAAATATTGAAGATTTTTTTGTTGTTTTTGTTTTTAAATAACAGCATTGTTCCTATATGGTTTCACTCAAACTAAAATCATATGTGAACAACAGATGAGGTGCTATTGAGAAGCTTTCAAGTCCCATATTCTAAAACTAAGGCTTATTTTTATTTGTATAAATAATCCAAATAGCATTGATAGAGTTGTCAAACTGATCAAGTCTTCCAAAGTAATTTCTTGAATATAAAAATATCTTGGCTGGGATTATTTTTATTTCAGTTCTGACTTCTGAGGCTCCATTGTGCAGCTAGGTTTCCCCTGCAAGCACTTTTCCATGATACAGGGATGATACTCATTACGAAAATAAGGTGTAGAAACTGCAACATCTTAAAATGAATGGTGGGACTCTCTTGTAAATCCTGCTGCTGGCATTTTATGTAAATGTTCGTAGTATTTTGGTGTATGATACACTCATAAGATTTGGCAAGTTTAAAATAAAGACAACCCAGTCTGTCTGGATGACACTTCTGCTTTGTTAATATTTCTGGAAGCAAAGCTGGTTCATGAACTGCTCACATTCCTTGCTCCTGTCCCTGCTCACTCCCAGTGGCACTCCCAGCTCCCTCCAGTATCATTAATTCATCTGCTTGTGATGTTGTGCTCTAGGCCACACTAGTGCATGTGAACCACGTGCTTGTGGTCTTTCATAGACTTGGGGAAATTGGGGCAGGAGGGAGAGCAGGTGTAAGAGGCTCGATTTCTTAAGCAGAGATCTTGCACTGATCTAAGGCAGGCTAAAGTTAAACATACAGAAGCGCTGCTCGGGCAGTTGTCATTTCTGCCAACCCACTGAGACTACTCTTTTCTGCCCTTGAAGTGCTCTCTGCGAAGCATTTCTGCAGTCAATAATCTAATGGGGAAAGGTGAGCACTAAGTCAGCAATGTTGCCAGAAAGTTATTTACCAGAAGATCCCCTTGCACAGTTTCATGGGCAGCTGAATCAACATAATGGAAGGGAAAACTGGGCTAGGGGAGTGCATAGACCTTTTGATCCAGCCTTGTCTCCAGAAAAGAAATATGCAGAACCGCATTGGATTTTTATGCTCTGTCTAGTACCCTGGTTCCAGATACTTGCTTACTGTTTGTATCAGAAAGCAGAAAGGGACATGCAAAGGGTTTGATTTCCAAGAATAATCTCACTGACTGATACAATGTGCTTAATTTCTGAATCTGCAACTTTTTATGAAGTTAATGAATTAGCTTTAAAGAGAGATGTACTGCATTTAGCAATACCAGCACAATACAAAAGCATGCTAATGTTGAAGAACTGCTGGTAGTTCTTCTCCATCCTGCTACAAGTCACAGCATACTGATAATTCCTCTGGCAATTTTCTAGGCTTTATCTTCACCTCATATATGAAAATCAGAAAACAACATGATTAATCTGAAAAGCAAGTTACGGTGAATCAGGCTGTCACTGGTTAGAACTTTTTTTTTCCCCCAAAATATACGTAGGCAGAGTAAAAGATGACAGCATACTGAAAAAATGACAGTGTTCACAAAGACTCTTATGCCTTTACAACAAAAGCAGGGACGTGTTTTCCTCCTTCTAACAATTGAGCCATTGGGAAAACTTCACTACCTTTTTCAATGTCTCAAGCTTTTTCTGTTTGAAAAACAACATAACAAGTTGCAGTGAAGGCTTCTTAACTGAAAATATCTTTATGCTAGCTTTTTTTATATTTAACATGCAACTGTTGTTCCTTATAAACTTTCTTCAATTAAATTTCACTCTTTTTTTTAGAAAGTTATATTGATTTAATAAAGAGACCTTCAAAAAAAGACAAGCTACAGATTTTCCAACAGTACAAATTGATAATAAGCCTCGTGACTGCAGTGTCAATTTGCTGTTAAAGCTACTTATGTAGTAGTCCTATGAGTATATACTGTGAGCTGGAAGGAACTATCTAACAAGCGAGGAAATGCACTTTCACATTCTTTCCCACCTGAATAGCTCCTTTTCAGTCACATTAAATAATGGCCTTCAGAAGGAGACAATAGATGAACTAATATTGAACTTTAAGCATCAAAATTAATACTGGCCTAAATGCTGAGTGTGTATTTGGCCCTCAATGCTGAATTTCTTGGGGGGCATTCAGCCCCTTCTCAGATAAGGCCAAGCAAGAACTTCGGCCTCATTCGTCGATAAGAAAGCACAAGACGTTGTAAAGGGGTCATATACATTTGTCAAACAGTAGGATGCTTTACTACTCATCAGATGATACTAAATTAATAGCAGTGGCCATAAAAATTGCCATTTTCAACACATAACTGTTATCTAATTATGTCTTTTCCTCATTAAAGAGCTCAGCATTTTAATCTCAGCTTTGTTGGAACCCTTCTATAAAAAATAAACACGGTCAATTTTAATTAATGTTTTGGAGGCATGGTGATGCTCATTTTGTGTATGCCCTGCATAATGGGTCATTCTGACAGTGTTCTCTTTTAAAATACTAACAGATAAAGGCATTAGAGAAACATATCAACTTTTCTGAATATTTATCTGTTAGTTGAACATCCAAAAATTGTCTTTGTATTGTTATTTCTAAAAAGAGTTCTAGTTTATATAGCATATGAAGGGACATTATGAAATTTGTTTTCCAGCTCTACGTGTTCAGAAGACAAACAGTTATATAAAAAACAGAATAAAATAATCTTTATAGCTGGTTTTTTTCTAATACTGTGTATATGCACCAAATAAATAGGATGAAATTACTGCACTGTTAGTATATTCAAGGCCAGGAGACAGAACGTGTAAACAAGCACATGTACACACAAACTTACTCATCTAAAAAACCAAAACAAACTAGAAACAAGACTAATTGCCACTACAGATATTTAACAGTCTCATTACAGATAATTCGCCTATAATTTGTCCGTAGCCACTCGTATTTAGTCCTTGTTTCATTCAATTGATGCTTTTACAAAATAATAATTTTCTTCTTATTAAAGCAATGGAAAAACAACATGCAACCCACACTCAAAAGAAAATGAGACTGTGACAAAGATATTTCTAGCTAAAATCATAGCACAAGTGTGATTCTCACACCATGGGCTGATAATTATCTTTTTGAAGCTGAAGTAAAAGACTCCACGTTACAGTAGACAAAACTCTTCCTTTAATGCTACTGCCTTATGACCCAGATTTTATTCTCAGCTACAGTATTGTAACTTCTCTGAAAATTATATGCTTGGAGCAATTATTTCTTAAATTGAATACGAAAGTCAGAAGAAAGTTCAAGTCAGTAGGAGATAGTGCCAGATTCACTCTATTGTCAACATGTTATTCCCATGTTTGTTCAAGGAAAGATAAATAAAAAGGAAAATCACCTATTTTCTAGCATCTTAAATTCACACAATAGAGCTGTGTAGTCACTTTGCAGGTCCCAACAGTTGATAAATACACAAATCACATGCTTAAAAAGCTTTGTTAAAAAGTGTTGGGTTTTTTTATTATCTTAGTCTTGCCTCTTCTTTTGATTTTTGAGCACCGTCTCCCTGCAAGGGTGTAATTACCTCCTACTGCAGTAGATCTTCTGAATAGATCCATCAAAGATTGTACAAAACCCTGCTACGCACCTTGAAAGTTCTCCCCAAATCCCAATATTCTCACAATAGAAACTTGCTTTCCTGGCCTCCCCCACCCCTGGCACCAAGATGGTGCCTCAGCCCTCCCCACACAGTTCAGCCCTCGCAGGGTGCTCACCTCAGCTCCACCAGCAGCTCCGCAGGCCACGGCCACAGCAGGGGGATCCCCGAGAAGCAGCTTCTAGCATTTTCCATCGAAGACCTGTCTCTCCAGCCAGGCTGGGCTGGCTGCTGCAGCTCAGCCAGCAGCTGAAGAGGTGTTTGGAGTTTCACAGCCTTCAGGGTGAGGAAGGAGAACCAGCTGCCTGCAATGGGGAGTTGGGACGAGGCAATGCCAGCACCTGCTGAGCAAGGAGGTGTCCAGAGCCTTTGAGATGGCCCCAGAATAAGAGCACTGGCCAGAGAGGTATCCAAGAGTTTTGGGACTCGAGGTGGTGTCAGCTCTCCTGCTGAGGGAAGCAGGGAGCCCTGAGGTGCCATTTCTGACAGGGGGATACCTGCAGCATTCACCTCAGCGCCGTCCTGCCCGCTCTGTCTCCCCACAGGCCCTGGGGAGGAGCGAGCACCTGGCCCCAGCTGTGGTGAGATGGGGGGCGGCCACAGGTGCCTTCCCTTCAGCCTGTGGAAAAATCACTTCAGCAGCTTCCCCTGAGCACCCTGTCCCCTGAGGCTGCCCTTCACCCGCTGGTTCTTTGACTCTGGGCCTGGTTCAGAGTTGGTTTTCCAGCTCCTGACTGAGTGTGGATGTGGGTGTAGAGGAGCGGGTGGTGTCCACGTGCCCTTCCTCACGGAGCACTTTACTCTTGCACTCCCTGCAGCGTGCACGAAGAACAAGCCCTACCACAGCTGCCTTGGTCAGCATTTAGCAGCCTGATCACCAGCAGATGTGCCAGCACCTGAGAGCTTTCCAGCTCAAAAGGAAAGGACGAAAGCTTTTACATTTACCACGGCGCAAAAGGGTTTAGTTGCTGTACACCTCCCTGCATCCCACAGGGTGGAGGCGGCCTTCACCATCTCTTTGCCTTACCTTTAAATTTGCCTATACATTAAATGGGAGCAAAATATTTCCCTCGCAAGGATGCAGTGAACTTTAGTTTGCTAATAGTTGTTGCGGCTATCAAGCTGAACGCATCCCGAGTCAAATACCCTTCCCCACCCACGGTCTGTTTCATGTTTCTCCTTTACATGGTCACGGTGTTTTTGGAGCAGGTTCTCTTCTGCAGGAGATTTCACACTGTTGTGACTGCTTCAACTTTGGTACATGGTTTTGAGTCATCAGTATAGTGTATTGGAAGGGAAGTATGTAATTTGTTCTACTGTACAGAGCACCTTTGAAAAAAAAAAAAAATTGCAAAAATAAGCAGTTTCGTCAATTTCCTTGCATTTTCCTGGTTGCTATAGTTTGAGAAAAGGCAGATGTTTATTCTTTTCTAATTCTAGATATTTTTCCTTCACAAAGGTGGCCCTGGCTCTGGCAAAGGTACCCAATGCGAACAGTTAGCCAAGAAATATGGATTTACTCACCTTTCCACTGGTGACCTTCTCCAAAATGAGTTATTGTCATTATCAGAGAGAAGTAAATTGATCAAAGACATCATGGAATGTGGTGAACCTGTGCCTGGTGTAAGTGACAATTTTATTTGGGGTCCTAATGGTTAAACAAAGGCAGATTGTCTAAAAGCATGGAAGTAAGAGACTAGAGCTGATGATTCCCATTTAAGTGAAGTTAATCTGCAACTTGAGGGAGAATTTTCCTCATTGCTAGATCTGTGGCGCTTTTTCCCCCTTTCTATGCCAGTATTTCTTTACATTTCAGACTCACATAAGTGACAAAGTAGTCATGGAATACAGTGAGACAGATGCTGTGCTGTGCATTGCAAAATGTAAGAGTAAGTGCAGGAAACAGAAGCTTTCTGCCCATTTTATAGCTTCACATTTCCAGATTTAGAGCTGGTCCTCCTGGCAGCTATTCTAATATACAATACCTGCAGCAGTTCCCTGCAGAGCTGGCTGCCATCCCAGAGTAGCTGGGTTGCAGTTTAACGGAGACAGAGTGTGTTGTTCTCAGCTAAACTTGATTTTTAGATGGCAGGTCCCCAGCCCCAACACTTGGTGGGTCTTCAGCAAGTACAGCTAGATCGTAGGCTGCGTTTGTTAATGAAAGATACTAGGAAGTGCTGCTTAGGGGAAACTAAGAGGTGTGCTGAGCCTTCATTTTGATTGCTTTGCTCTTCAGTGTGTTTGGTCAGAGGGGTCTCTTATCACTTTTCATGTAATATAATTATGTCCATGACAGAGCAAAATGCATTCAGATTGGAAAATGCTGCAGCAGTACTCCAAAGTTTCACAGGTATTAAGATTAATTTTGAAACTATGAAATATTCCCAGCTATCTAGAGGAAACTTCGGGAACTCTTGGAATGGTTTGCAACACTAGGTTTGTATAGCATAGCTGGTCCTCAGAGAAGAAAAAGTAGGATGCTCTGCTATCTGCAGGGAAAGAAAACCTGCATCCACAGGACCTGCTTTTAGCAAAATAAGGCAGTTCTCAAGGGAATTAGACTATAGTCAATGTAACAAACAAAGGTATCAATCTTTCTTATTAATTAACAAAGTAACTCCCTTTCTCTCCAATGCAGGATATTGTCCTAGAGCTACTGAAGGAAGCCATGGTTTCCAAGTTAGGGGATGCAAAAGGATTCCTGATTGATGGGTATCCCCGGGAACTGAAAGAAGCAGAAGAGTTTGAGAGCAAGGTGACCATATAATTGTATTGCTGTTATAATTCCCATTAAGACACGACTGTACTCCTGATGCTGCTTGGGTCCCCATCTTCAGCTGATTGCAACGGGGATGTGTAAAGAGCCAACCCAACAGCGTTGTGCTGCTGATCACTGAAACTTTGGCACCCCCATCCATATAGCAGCTCCCACTTTTCCACTCACCTACACAGACTCTGTAATACCAGAAGAAAGGGCTGATTTTACCCAAATTTAATATAAACCATGAACAATTCACATTTAGTGGAAAGCACCATTTTTAGAATCCGTTTTCTAATTCTAGTGGATGGCTGCTGTACTTCTCCTGAAAATCTCATCAAGCACTATTTGATGTAGGTTCATGAAAGCATGTATCTTCACAGTTAATATCTTTTACCATTGAGCCAGCTCTGCTAAAGCTTGCTGCCACTTTGAAACAGCAAAACACAGATCAAATTTTTGCAATGAGTAACAGGTGGTGTAGCCATAAAAAGAGCGTTTTGCAAGTGACTGCATGGCAGTTCAGAGTGTTATCGATTTCCTCAGTATGTGCTAAGACTTACTGAGAAGTCTCAGCTGTACATTTCTCAATCTGCAGAAAATACTCTATATAAGCACTATGAATGAATTTGCCAGGGTTTAGAAGAAAAGTGGTGAACTAGGGGAAATAGTAGAGTATATATTCTATCATATTGCACTCCACAAATGTCCTATACGAGTTTGAAAGGTAATAAAGCTTAAATGAATCATCTGTTTTCTCCCTGAACCTTTGGCTGCTTTGTCTAGTTGATTACCACAAAAGCCTAGCAGGATTTAGGCATCAGAAGTTGGACAAAATAATGAGCAATAGGATTTGCTATAGAAGCCATTCACAGAAATGTTGACCTGTTAGTTCCTTTACTGAAATGTTACAGACTGTTAAAAAGACATTGGAGGTTTCCTTCATTTTGTGTAGAAGGAGGAACTATTTCAGCAGTGCAGCTTTTCTGGCAGGCGTATGTGTCATGCCCTGTGAACACTGGTGTATGCTGTAAAGCAGGACTTAGAGGTTGGAGTATCCTGGACTGAGGCATTGCCAGGCAAACACGTCTTCATGCATCCAGTGCAAAGCAGAGCCCCCTTTTCAGTTCCTGTAGCTGCTGTAGCAGCAAAAGATCATGTAGCCCTGAGCTGCCTTTGGATTAAAATACGAGGACCCAAAGTGATACAATATCAAATTACAAGTTCCACATCACCAGTGGAAGATACCCAATAAGACAGAGTGAAGACCCAATGCATTAGACTTGTTTGGGTTCCTGCAGATGTCCCTGGAGCATGCATTATTTACGCTACATTGTGTCAGGAAAACAGTAATTCAAAATAAAACCAACAGTAGTAATATCTGATAGGGGCATTTACTTTTACTTTTTGCAATTTTTAACTCAGAAGAATGTATCAGAAGAATTTAACTCAGAAGAATTTCTGTAACTTTTTGAATTCCAGAGAATAGCAACGTTGAAATTTTTAAGAGAACCATATAGATTTTTCAAAAGCAAATTGGACCTGGTCTGTCAAACAAGATACTATTGTCTGATCCTGCCAGTCAGTAGACTCCTTCATATCTTCATTGTAAGGTGATGAGATGACTATAAATGATGAGAGGAATCATTCCTCATTTATTCTGTTACAATTTAGAACAGACCCTGGAATTCCTCATGTGGACCTCGGAGGAAGTAACTTCTCACTGTCCAAGTCCAATTATACGAAAAAGGACAGTTGTTTTAATCATTGATTAAGCCCACATCTTTTATGTCTTCTCGATCTAAGTCTATTGCACTGTTAAAACTGCCTTGTTGGCTTTTTTAATCCCAAAACCCAATACTGCTGCTGCTAATAGCATTAATGTTTTCTGAGCTGTGTTGAAAAAATGGATGGATAAAAGCCTGTCATTGAACTGTCCGACATAATCCCTTGGATTCAGCTCTCTCTTAGAAAGTCATTAAGGTAATAGAAAGGTCAACATAATCCAGACATCCTCAGTCAAATGCAGAAGGCCTAACATGAAATATTTACCTTTGGAAATATTTATCCTTCCTTTAAGAGCTGTCAACAAAGGCAGCAATGGCAGTTTCCAGTCATTTAGACTTTCTTTGCTGTAGCTGTGGTAAAAGCAGGAATGTCTAAGGGTCACTAGTGTGAAGATCAGCTGTCTTTTCTCAAAACTTCTCACTCTTTCCTAAACGGTGTTCTCCAAATCCCTGCTAGAAAGGGAAGGAATGAGAAAAAGCCTGAGAGCATGACTGAAGGATTTGATACATAACTGCATGGAAAAATTACCATGTTACTTTTCTCTGATCCTGTAACACCTTGATTTTACTTGAGAGAGTGGGGTGTATCCCTTCAGACTCAGCACAACAGTTGCTGCTCAGACAAAACCTTGTGTCAGAGAGAGCTGTGCTTGAGCAGGGTCCGTGACAGGGTGTATTGCAAGATTTATGCTAAATGTCACCCATATTTTTCAGAATCTTGGAGAAAGAACAATGGGGATTTGTGTTTACAACCTCTGACTTTCTCCTGAAATATTATAAGGAATATTTTCTTGTTTCTTGCCAGTTATTTTTCACCCATAAAAACTGCAATATCTACTATCAAGTATAGATAGAGACAATTATTTACTATCTTTGCCAAGGCCTGTGAATAAAAATAAATAAATCCATATTTATTTTGTTTAAAGAAAAGTTCATGCACTTCCTTATGACTAGTTTGGCCCTAGCTAAAAAGCACTAAGTGGTGGGCTTCTCATAAAATTCAGAAATTACTCACCAATTTGAAAATACAGAGATATCACAATCTTCCTTTATGCCATGGGTAGTGACGATGTAGAGTTACACTGCAAATATTGACATAAAATAGTGTGCGACAAAGGAATTCACAGGGTGTATTTCTGTGAATGCGTCCAGTAACAAGCATTTGATGGTGTCTCTGGGCCTGTCAGTTGCTACTCATTTCCATTTCAAGTGGGCACACTTTACTTTGGACATTTCCTTCTAATGCCTCTTGAAATTCTAAGCTATAGTTTACCTGAATGAAAATATACTCTTCACAGACTGAACAAAGCAAAGGCTAAAAAAACAACTGTGTCAGGCATTCAATGAGTCCAGTGCTGCTTGCATCAAGCTTTTCTCAAAGAATTGCAAATAATGAACAAACTGATGATCTTTAGTCCAAGTAGCCCCAATTTTTCACATCGTATCTCTTTTTCTCTGTATGTGTAGAGCCCAATGAAGCACAGCCTTGATCCTGAATACTGGGATCTCCAAAAGCCACTACAATCAGAGGTGTTTGTTAATAAGAATAATTTCTGCATAGGCAAATACGAAAGTAATTTGCTGATAAACTCCTTGATGGAGTAGCATTTCAGTAGCATTTCTTTTTAAAGTTATCCAAAGAAAATAAGTTTTACCAGGCCGGTGGTTTGAATACTTACTGGTTTTCTTTGTCTCTAGATTGGGGAACCAAAACTTGTGTTCTGCCTGGACTGCTCTGCAGAAACCATGAGCAGTCGCCTCCTGATGAGTAACCAGAGCAGTCAGCACTCTGATAACCCCAAAACCATCAAGGAAGGAATCGAAAGCTATTACCAAGCGTCAATACCTGTGATTGCATACTATGAAAGGAAGACACAGTTATGCAAGGTAAATTTCTTGAGTTTTTGAATTAAATTATTGCTTTTTACTTCCATTATATGAGCAACATTTGGAAAATACTGGCAAGACACGATTTATGGACTGTACTAATTTCTGCACTTTGTAGTTTGTTTTCGTCTTACACTTCCCTGGTTTGTTTGCAGCTTCTGCAAAATTCTGAGCTCCACAGTACAATTTGAAAGAATAAAATCACAGATTTATCCTGGCTCTGAGAACATACCCTGAATCACTACCTCATCTGTATAGAATCTTTTATTAAACATTAATGCTGGAAAGCTTTTCTTTAAGTATTAGGATTTATTTCTCTATAAGGACTTTAAGAGTTAGGATGAAAGATTATGTTAATCCAAAGCCCTTTAGTTAAATTTACAAAACTGACAGTGTATATCCTGAAATAAAACAGACCTGCACACAAGAAAGATCTTTCTGCTGGAACAAATGACATAGTTATATTAATTTCGGTGAATTACATTGAAATTATTCAGAGTTTACACCTGCTGAGGATGTGAAATTTAAAGCATTCTTTTTATTCTTTAATGAATACTTTACAGAGAAGCAAAAAAAATTCCATCAGTGCAATTTACCAATGTATATGCTTGCACATCTGTAAACTCATTTATGTGGGATGTTTTATGTGTTTCTCTGCTCTATTGTGGCAAACTATCCCTTATGTTCAGCTACAGAAAGATCTAGTTCCTGCTGATCCTTCTTGTCCTAAAAGGGAAAGAATCCAATAATAGTTTCTGGAAATATTATAGGAGCTTTTTTCTAGAGGCTGTAGCAAACATGCAAATCACATATCCCAAACCTTTCTCCTCTGCCAAGTTCCCAAAAGAGAAACATGCAGCTAATTTATGCACCCATATCCTGACCCCAGAACAGAGTAAATGACAGTCCTGAGAAAAATGATACTCAAAGGGAGAGTCCTGATTCATGTCCTTTGCTAACCCCACGGTGAGTACATGGAAGGCAAATTCTAGTGGTAGAAAAAAAATCCCCCATTACTTTCTTTTCTTCTTCAAGCATAAGAAAAATTATCTGGTTTTATTTGTATTTTCTTTGACGAGCTACCTTGCCAATGTTGCAAGGATGTGTCTAATTAAGAATTCAGTACAATACACAATACACCAACACAGTGCAATGCAAAGGAAGACAGAGCTCTCTGTATCTCTAAGATCTCACTGCAGTGAGCTGTGCCTACCATAGTGTTTCTCTTTCTGAAGTATCAGGGAAGTGACAGCCCCAAAGAGAATGAAACCCCACTAAGCATTTTCACACAGATTTTGCATTCCTGTTCTGCTTTATTTCACTTGATGTGGACTCTCCTTGCCCTTTCTTAATACTTCTGCTGCAAGTTTCTGCTCCATCTCCTATGCAATCTATGCAATGGCAAACCATGCAGTCTTTTCGTGAAAGCTTATAGCTCCTTAGCTCCTTAAGTGACTTGCCGAGTCTGTAGGTCAGAACCGGTGTATGCTTTGCACTCTCAGTTTGGGAGGGAACTGACATTGTGTGTTTGCATGTTAGAAAATATTCGTGCATTGCTTTAACAGCATTCACACTGTTTTTCTTACAATGTCTATCCAGTGTCTGTACTTGCTTCTGATGAATGTAGGTGTTCAACGTAGTTCCATCTTCTGGATGGAACTATTGGGTATGAAAGCCCTGTGAAATCAGCTTTATAAACATTATCATATAAAATGTCCTTTTAAGGTTGAAAAATGCATTCCGTTTTTCTTGAGCACAGGTACTCTCTACTGAAATGTCTGCCTCATCAGCTGTTTACTAAACTGATAAAATACACATCTGCTATCAAAGATGTGATTCCATTATGGATTTAAGTAAAGTAGGGAGATGCCCCCTCCCCAACCCGTTCTGATGTAGACAAATGTATGTTCAGTTATTTATCAGCATTTAGAGAACACTGACAAAATGCTCAGCCCAGGTAGGCTTTTAAAATTAATCCTCCCAGGCTGTCCTTGTCACCCTCAGCCAGCTTCACGTACAAGCCTGCAGCCCTGTACAGCAAGGAGCAGAACCAAATGTAGTTTTCAGACAAGAAGCATGTTAACGTTTTGTTGTTTATGGGTGAGAGAAATTGCTTTTTTTAACCAAGTGTTGTTGAACAGTTGTGATGATCTATTTTAACGTTAACTTTGCACCTACAGTCAGAGTGGTCTGAGCACCTTTTTGCACAGAGCAATTGACTTCAATAGCTCTTCTGATCCAAATATTCCCTATCAGTTCTGCAGTGGAAAGTGCTGGAATGAAAAAAAATCAATTTTGGAAATACACAAATACTGCGAAACAAAGTAAATTTTTTTCTGGAAGAAATGCTTGTTTAGGAAATTTTTCTAGGCAATTTTCCTGCAACAAGTGAACTCAAAGAGTTTGATCATACAGTCTCATTTGGTCAATGACACAACTCAAGCCTAGTGCCTGGTGTCCTTGCAGTGCCCAGTCCTGCTCTGAGCAGGAGGTTGCACTAGATGATCCACTCTCCGCTCTTCCCAACCTGTATTATTATCCTGTAAACACGCATCTTACAAACCTATGCACTATTTGGCTCAACAATTTGAAGAATAAAGACAAAGAACAAACAGTTAAGAGTTGGCCAACGGCTGTTTTGAAACAAAGAGAACTAAACAGCACAAAATGTGTAACTGTGAGCTACGTGGGGAGCTAAGAGGAAATAGACGTTTAGGTTTACAGTTTTAAAACTGTTTCAGCAGTGAATATGTGTGAGCTGCATGTGTTGAAGAAGCAGAGAGTAAAAGGGAAGTTTGCAATTCCCAGGACACGAGGTCAGTTTTTTATTTATAGCAACATATTTTCCAGACTCCTGAGCATTGACATTAGCAGCCACACTGATGTTCTCTGAATGAAGGAAGGAAATTCAGGTGGAAAGCAGAAAAACTATCAGTACTTCTGACTGCATTTTATTTTCAGTATGGGTTAGGCTAAAATAGTCTTTGGTTTTTGTCATTTGTACTGTCATATGTATACACAGAAAATTGAGACTTTACCTAGAGGCAATCTAACATGTTTAATATTTTTCTTCCTGATTTTAATTATGTCATGGTTTGGGCCAAACTGGCCATTGAAATGAACAACAGAGGCTCTCCCCCACCTCTCTCCAGGAAGAGGAGGGAGAGAGAGAGAGAAAGAGACTTCAGAGTTTAAAAAAAAGCTAAACTAATGAAATACTAATAATGAAATAAAAAAACAATAATGAAATATATACAATATATACAAAACCTTATCGAGCTCTCAGGGTGACGATCACATCACCAACAGGCACTGGGAAAAGTCCCAGACAGGACTCAGTGATGGACGGGAACTGGAATCCAGCTCTGGAGTCAGGAACGCCTGGATCAGGATCAAAGGCAGACAAACAGACAGTCCTCCTTGGACCTGGCCATTGAGGAAAGAGACTGACCCCTTTGATCCCTCAGCTTTTATACTGAGCATGGGGCAGAGGGGATGGAACACCCTGTTGGTCTGTCTTTGGGTTGCTTGTCCTGTCTGATCCTCCCTGAAGGTGCGACCCCTCTAGGCTTTTCCTCTTCCGACACTCCAACAGGGCAAATAGCAACGTGAGCTGACCTTGGTTGTTAATAGCAATAAGTATAAGCAAGAGCCTCTCTGCAGACCCTTCCTTGGCATAAATGAGAAACTATCAGGTCGTATCGCTCTGGTAGTGAACACTGTCTTAAAAATATGGCATAAATTTTCATGGAATTCAGTTAGTTAGAAGAGGCTTAACTGAAAAGTAAAATTTTTGAACAGAAAATTGATTCTGTTTTACCTCAAGCCATGGCAAATTATAACACACGCATGTTTTCGGCTTTGGGAATCTGTTCGTTCCTGAGTGGGTGTTACTACTCTCCAGCATTGACCAGTACTGGTTGAAGACGTTGATGCCCTCATTAAAATGCTGCTGCCTCTATAATTCTGCTCGATGAAAGAGCTGTGAGTATGTTTCTGAATCCATTTTGGGCAAAGCCACCAAAGCTAATTTACAAGTGTTGATTTGAAGACTCTTTAAGATAAATGATCTCATCTACATTCATGGATTTTTAAAAAATAATTCATGGACCTTCATGTAACTGCAGACCAGAGACTTGTGCACAATTTTTCTCAGGGAAGCGGTAATGGTGATAGCAGGTGTGTAATTTATTTCTGTCTTTGGAAAGGTTATCGGAGAATCATTAAGCCTGATAGGTAAGTAGGTGAGGGAACAAAGGAACAATTGTTTCTGTCACCCCCTCGGTGGCTTGTGACCCATTAACAGAGACACCAGTCTAGAAAGACACATCAGAACCATTAGCAGGGGATTGTGGAGAAAACACAACAGTAAATTCATGCCAAATGTGAACAGGTGCTGGGGCAGAATGTTTCCACTGGATTCCAGACAGCTTGATCGATTGCTTCGAGAACCAGGTACTGCACCGTCTGAGAGGTTTTTAACACTCTTTTTAATGACAAAGTTATAAATATTAACGTCAACACAGCTGAGCTTGACTGACATCCAATGAGAAGCTTCTAACTAGTGAGTTTATTCCAGAGTCTCAGTCTGTCTTTCTGAAAACAGTGGTCCTCAGCCATCCTCTCTACAGACAGTTGGGTTTTTCTCAGTGGCAGTGTGCATTTAGGCTTCTAAATCCCAAAACCTACAACAAATGGAGGTTTGATGACAGAAAAATTAATTGGTTGGTGATCAGTCCACTCATTTTTCACGAGCTCATTAAATTTCTCTGTGTTTGAAGTTACCTAAAGCCATGGTGGCATTTCAAAACTGGAAGCATTATGGAAAACTGTGTCTGGATATTGCTTTTGTGAGAAGAAAGTAGCTTGGATAACCTTGAAAACAGTCCTAATTTATGAGGTTTGTTATAATCTGAGAAATACACATTTTTCTCTTTCTGGAGCTGCAGGGAGCATCATTGAATTATTGTGGTACTGGCTGTGAATTATTGTCACATTAA